TCTTTTTTATGACAATGTAGTATATTATGAAATGCTACACCGTCACATATTATACAGCCACAAAGAATACTACACAGCCATTAAAAAAGAATGAAATCATATCTTTCGCAGAAACATAGATGAAGCTGGAGGCTACTAAGCGAAAAGTCTCACAAACAGAAAAATCAAACACTGCATATCCTCACTTATGAGTTGCGGGAAGGTTGAAAAATTACCTATTGGTTACAACGTTCAATAGTTTGGTGATGGGGTTACCAGAAGCCCCAACTTCACCATTATGCAGTATACTCACAGAACAAACATGTACATGTACCCCCTGAATCTATTATTAAAAGAAAAAAACTCAAGTAGGGATTTAGGACATGGTCATACCAAAGTAACTATAATAGTAATTGCCCTTCAACTCCCTTCCATCCCAGCTTGGTTAAGACTTGAAGCAAAGGTACAAAAGAGTTGGATGAGACCTTGATCAACAGGAGGCACTACAGTGCTGTACTTAGGAGTGGAGATCTGTCTGTATCCGTTGCTCATGGGGGTGGGGGGGTTCTTCAGCAAGTTCTTTAACCTCTCTAAACCTCAGTATCTTCATCTATGAAAGAATCATTACCCGTGCCCATAGCAGCCAAAGTCTTGGTAACGTCAAACAAGATAATAAATGTAAAGCACATAGCACAGTGTCTGGTACAACGGCATGCTCAGAAAATATCAATGTCATTGACCTCTTTGCTCAACACCAGCTAAATAAAGCAAGATCAAAGAGGCACAACCTTGGTTGAGGTGTTTCCTTTAGTAATAATTTTGCGCAGGGGTTGGATGTTCAGGTTGCCCGTCACATAAGAGCTTCATGCAATCATTAGTTGATTGTGGTGATGACAGTCACATTGTACACTTTGAAGAGCCTGCAATGTGTAGGCAACAAGCGAACTGAGCGTCTGTTTATGATTCCGATGATACCAGATACAGACAGATACCTGGCCTCCTTCTCCACAGTGGCCTACATCCCAGAATAGGAAATATGCATTCACAGACAGACCCAGCAGCACAGGGGCTTAGGAATCAGGCTGCCAACACTTCAAGCTGTCAGGGACAATGCAGAGCCTGGTGGGTTCTGCAGTACAGGGGAGCTGCCCGAAGCAGCTTTCTTGGATTGACTTCTATGCAAATGAAAGATAATTAGGTGACCTGTGGCCAGCAATTCCTGCTGGTTATTACTCAGCAGGATGCCAATGTGTGTACACTTCTCTTGAGCAAAGGGCAAATCCCTTCCACTTCTCCAACATGTTCATTTCTAGGCCCCCATGACCTATGGAAAACTCAGAAAGGTTACAGGGCTCAGAAGCCTTATTCTGTAGTTGCCCTGACAATTCCTCCTCTGCTGTGGGAAGGTACCTAAGTAAGACAGGTGTGCTAGAAATGGAAGCTCAAGCTCCAGTGGATTTCACTGTAAGTTAACCAGAGCGCCGATCCTGTGAGCCCATGCCACATTTGTTTAAAGTCTCTCTCGGTCTTTCCTCCCACTTGGATTTTGACTGCTATATGCAATTGCCTGACCGTAAACTCCTTGAGGAAACAGAAAATGCCCTTTCTTCTCTGCCTGCCTTTGTGGCAGCTCATAGGTGCCTGTTCTAGAAAGCCTGGCATCTTGAACTGCTTGGGAATCAAGAATCTGGGTCTCAGCTAAAGTGATTTGTTAGTTTTGTTCTTCAAAATACTTACAGTGTGATCAAGAACACCTCTTTTCCTCCACCAGGCACAGAATTCTTTTCCATCAAAGAAGCTTATCCTAAAAAAAATCAAAGGATTGTTCCATCTGCATTCCTGCTGTTTTTTGTTTTGTTTTGTTTTTTAAAGGTTTCATGCCACCAGCATTGAAGTAATTTACCTTCCTCTCCTTGCAATAAAAGCTTTACAGAACTCTTCAAAATAGACTGTTCTTAATTTCCAGGTTAAAAAAAAATCTAACAGATTTCCTAGACATGAAATTAAATTCAAGTACTTTCTATTTAACTTTTGACTCTGATTCATTGATACCTCATTCTAATTGTCCCTATTATCTAGAAAAATAGGAAATGTCACTTGCACATCTTACTGAAGAATTCAAAGGGCCAATGAAATGAAGAGCCCCACTTGGCTCAGCAGAAATGAAGTGATCATCATTCACAGACATAACCACAGGAGGGATGCACTTCCTCTGCTGAGCCAGGCTTCAGAGCAAATGAGTACAAAATAAGCAAATGTGAGAGGAGTCAGTCATACAATTTCCAAATCGTTCTGAAGCGTTCGTAGGGGAGTGCAATTTTGCTTCTAGGATAAGTGTTTTCATTCATTGGCGTATTCCCTCAACAAACATTGACGAGCGCATAAGAGGTAGGGACTCCCCAAGTTGAAATTTTCTCCCAAAACAGACCCACATTAACACATAGTGTGAAATACTTGAGAAATTATCAGAAACTTATAGTTCACAGTCACAGGGGAGTACTGTCTATCTAACAATAGCTTGTGTAGGGTGCAGGAGAAGCCCCTGGCCTTATGTGGAGATAACGGTGTTTGCCCATAATATGAGAGATTCATTCAGGAGAAAGGCAGACAGGGAGAGTGGTAAGAGACACAAGCACTGGCTAAAGTTGGACTTCCCATACATGCAGATTTCAAGGATAAAAGTTACAGTACTATGGCCATAGACAAGTTACTTATCTTCTCTGATATGCTTTGACTCTGTGCCCCCACCCAAATCTCATCTCAAGTTGTAATTTCCATGTGTCGAAGGAGGAACCTATAATTTCCCACATGTCAAAGGAAGAACCTGTAATCCCCAAGTGTGTAGGGAGGAAGAGGATTGGATCATAAAGGCATTTTTCCCTATGCTGTTCTTGTGATACTCAGTGAGTTCTCACAAGATCTGATAGTTTTATAAGGGCCTCTCCTCCCTTCACACGTTCTTCTCTTCTCTCTTCTGCCACCTTGTGAAGAAGATGCCTGCTTCTCCTTCCGCCATGATTGTAAGTTTTTCAAGGCCTCCCCAACCATGCGGAACTGTGAGTCAATTAAACCTCTTTCATTTATACATTACCGGTTTCAGGGAAGTTATCTATAGCAGTGTGAAAACAGACTAACACATTCTCCAAGATTGAGTTTTCTCATTTATAAAATGTTGGATATTAATAATACCTACAACATAAGGCTTTTGCAAGGATTAAGGGGAGTGATACCTTTAATGCCCCTAGATAGCTGACTTATAATAAGCATGCAAATCCTGTTAGCTGCTGTTATTACTACTTTTCTCTGTGTAGTCACCTTAGTCCACCTTCCTCACATTTAATTAAAAATATACTGAGGGTCCCTATTCATTTGCTTAATAAGTACTTACTAAGTGCATACTTTGGCCCAGATACAGTACTTACACCTGGGAGCACAGTGGTCCCAACTAAGTCCTGTCCTCAAAAATCTTTAGGTCTAGCTGGGAAGACAGACCACTAAGTAGGCAATTACAGTCCAATGTAGAAATCACAGAAAATGGTGTAATCCCTGGCTGCTGAAGTATTGTCTAGGTAATCTTAGGCTATTATAAAAGCTCCTTAGAGATAGTGAAGTCCAAGCTAAGATATAAAATTTCTTAAGAGTCCTTATGAGGGGAGAGAGATTATGAGGCTTTGGGGAAAAATAGCTGTGTCCTGTGAGGAGATCCTAGAGTGGATATATATATATAATACAGGCAAGGTGGATAGGGAATAGCAGCTGAGAGATGAATCTGGACAGCAAAACAGTACCCCTTCTCATTAAAGGATCCTAGAAGCTTGTTAAGAAAAGCTTATCTCTATCATTGAAAGGGAATAAATTGAAAAGAAACATAATGTATAGATTTAAGGACATTGTTCAGGATGTATATAGATGGTGGATCACGTTGGAGCTGATGAGCAAGAAATAACCTTGGAGGCGAGAAGACCTATTAGGTAACAATTTCAGTAATATTGGAGAAAGAAGGCTTGACTTGCATTTGAATGGTGGCAGTAGGGATAGAGCTAAACAAAACTATTTCAGAGATAGGCAGAGAATAGAATGAACAGGAATTAAGAGGAATTAACTGCTATTGGAGATGAGGGGTTGAGAGGCGTAAAGCAGCCGGCCCATGTTTCTATTCTGAGTGAATCTTGATACTATTACACATATGTGGGACCCAGGAAAAACCTGGATTTAACACATGTAGTTAAGGCATCCACTGGATATCCATGTGAAGATAAGCCATAGACACTTGGCTAAGGAGGTCTGGATTCCCCAAGAGTGAAAAGTCACACTGGTAGAATTAATTCTTAAATTTCTATGTGGATATTTAGATATGTCCCATGAAAATTGCTCCAGTTACCACTCAGCAGATGGAGAAGGTAAATGGATTAATAGAATCCTAAAATACAAGAACTGTTAGAAGTCCTGGGTCCAGCCACCCTGGTGACCCAGTAAATGGAGCATTAGTCTCATAGCATAGACAGTGAGTCTATGAGACCCAACTCTGCTGAGTTGGATCTGGGGGTTGAAATCAGGCCTCCTGGCTCATGATGGAGGGCCCTGTCATTTGAAGTCTAAAAGGTTCAACCTCCTAGCAATCTCATTTCCTTGTGGGATATAAGCTACCTTGTTCTCATTTTAAGACTTTATTTTCAAAAGGAAAGGGGGAAAAAAGCAACATGGCAATCATATTAGTTGGTCTGTTCAGCCAAATCCTTGCTAAAGAATTATAGTCCCTTTGGCTCCTTCTTTCTCGTCCAGATCTTACTATTACTAGCACATAATAAGTGTTCAATAAAGAGAATCCGATAACATCAACACTGAATAATCACATTCCTCAATACCAAAAAAGGTAGATCTTTCTCTTCCTCTCAGATTCTACTTTTGCCTTTAGTGAAGGTCCAAATCAAGCCACATTTGAGAGATGGACCAATGGCATAATTTCCGTCTTGATATACATAGTAACATGTGAATTGTTCAGTAATGTTAGTCCATCTTACCATCTTCACCCATTGGATACTTGCTGCCAATTTCTGTAACACACTCCACCCATCTGATTGGTCACTCAACAAATGACAACTGGAAGGAATGTCACAGGGCCACTGAGCCGAAAACACAGTGATTTCTGCAAAAAGTGAAAGGATCATTAGTAACCTAGCAGTGGCATGAATTGACCAAGTGATACACTATTAAACACAGTTGCATACAACGGACTTTTCTCTTAGATGACAATCCAGGTGTGCAAAGAGAGAGATACACAAATTACTAAAATTATGTGAAAAGTGAGAAAAACTTGTCGTGGATTTATAAGTACCACTGGATAGTGTGATTAACCATATGTGCATTTGGTAGTTTGATAACAATGGTAACAGCAATCCTCCACACAACTTCTTATAACATGCTGTGTAATTCACATACATTTGCTCTTGCACTAAGAACAAGCTGATGGGGGAAGGTATGAAGACTTGGAGCCCATTTCTGATAGAACCTATGTTCCAATGCCAAAGCAATGTCTTCCTTCCTAAAGTAAGAGCACTGTTCTGGTGTTGACAGATTTTCACGGACAATCGGCTCAAGGATGAAGAGTAGCAGTAGCGGTAGTGGTGATAGGAGATGCAGTCCCCACCCCGGCAGGCCGGAGTATTGGGCTGACAAGGTTGCAACTCTTTTCAAGATTGCATTTCCCTCACCCACACCACCACATTCTGGACTTTCTGTGTGGGGGCTGTGTTCTGCCTGGATTCTGGTCTGATTCATCTTCCTATCTCCCCAAATGTCTAACACATTTCCTAGCCCAGAGCATCTGTTCAATGCGTATTTGTTGAGTGAATAAAGAAAAGAATATGGAGTGTCTAAACAGCTGTCATCTTTAAAAACTGAGGCACTGAACCAAGAAAGGTGCCAGCTGGCATAGCTTCCCCAACACAACAGCATAAAGGAGTTCTTGAATGTCCTTCATCTCTAGGCGTCTACCTTCTAGGATCAACTCAGCCTGTGTTAGGGGCTTAAACAGCTTATTTTCTTTGACTTGACTTCATCTCTTTCCAAATCTCTTTTCTTGTCTGAATTTGCTTCCATCTCATATTCTACACAAAGCCCTCCCCAAAATAACAAACAGGCAAACAGAAGTCCTTTTTAGTGAAGGACTGTGGATGGACCTTAGATCTACTAAAATTTGTTCAGAGAGCCTGGTTTTTGGTGACTGTAGCATGATGAACAATAAAGCTGTCCTCTTGTGTGCTATTTCTCCAAATATTACTCAGGAAAGAGTAACACTGAAGTTATTCCCAGAGGCACAGGGAGTCACGGAGGAAATGCTACATGCAGCAGTTCACACAATGCATACCAGATGAGGAAGGACCCTGCTTGTCAACCACGTTACATGCTGCAGCCACTCTCCAAAAATGCCCGGTAACCCAGACCCTCTGATAGGCATGCTCTTGGACAGTCTCCTTCTATGGAAATACGAGCTGGCTCTGCATAACAATGAAATAGCAGAAGTGATACTATATGAACCACAGGAGAGGGACCTCCACCGTGGTGAGTCCAAAAGGTGGATCATGGAACCAAAGAAAATTATTCTTGAGACTTAAGATTCAGCGGTATTTGCTTTTTTATGTAAACTTGCCTGGAACCCCTTACTACTTTCTTTTTTCCAATTTCTCCCTTTCAGAAAGGGAATGCCTATCCTCCACGTGCCCCACCACTCTATTTTGGAAGCACATAATTTATCTGATTTATCAGGTTCACAGCTGCAGACAAACGCTGCCCCAGGACGAACAGTACTTTGAGTCTCACCCATACTGATTTTGTCTAAGGATGAATAGTACCCTGAGTCTCAACCATACTTATTTAGACGACAATTTGGACTTTAGACCTCAGTGTTTATCCTGAAACAAGTTAAGATTTTAGAGGTTGCTGGTATAGGGTAAACGTATTTTGCATGTAAGAAGGACATGAATTTTTCAGGATTAGAAGTGGAATGTTATGGACTGAACGTTTTTGTTCTCCAAAATTCACATGTTAAAGCACTAACCCACAATGTGATGATTCAGAGGTGGGGCCTTTGGGAGGCAATTAGGTTTAGATGAGTTCATGAGGGCAGAGTCTTGCGGGATTGGACTCCCTCAATAAAAGAAAAGAAAGCAGAGCTCTCTCTTTGTTTCTGCCATGTGAAGACACAGTGAGAGGGGTCTTGTCTGCAAACCATGAAGAAGACCCTCACCAGGAACTAAATCTACTGGTCTCCAGGACTTTGGGAAATAAAGGTCTGTGCTTTAAACAATCCAATCTGTGATATTTTGTTATAGCAGCATAAGCTGACTAATGCTCCAGCCAGCCAGGTGGAGAAGCTACATGGATGGAGAAATAGGTATCAATCCATCTCCAGCTCTTTCAGCCTTCCAAGCTGAGGTGCCAGACAGGTGACTAAAAATGTCATCTTAAATACCTAATCCATTCAAAGCTTCATATAACTCCAGCCATCTGACTACATGGCAGGAAAGAATAAATAAGAATAACTAAATGAATTCGTTCAACCCACAGCACTATAATAGATAGTAATAAATAGTTGTCTTAAGCCACTAAATGTTAGTATGGCAAGTTACTCAGCAATAGAAGGATAACTGGAATGTTATAAATAGGGGTGGAAAAGATATTTGCAATGTGTCTCATCAATAAATTATCTTTAAACACATAAAACCATTCTGAGTATTATGAAAGCCATCTCACTCTACAGCACAAAAAGGTAGGACTCTTTCTGAAAGTGTACAGCCAATAATGCCTTAGGTAGGGTTGAAATCTAGCAGTGCTGACTTCGTAGTCCATGTACCTTCTGTTTTTCTTCTCTAGTCTTCTGTTAGTAATGTAGCTGTTTCTGGGCACAGTGGCTCACACTTGTAATCCCAGCACTTTGGGAGGCTGAGGCGGGCAGATCATGAGGTCAGGAGGTCGAGACCATGCTGGCCATAGTGAAACACTGTCTCTACCAAAATACAAAAGATTAGCTGGGTGTGGTGGCATGTGCCTGTAGTCCCAGCTACTCAGGAGGCTGAGGCAGGGGAATTGCTTGAATCCAGGAGACAGAGGTTGCAGTGAGCCGAGATCATGCCACTGCCTTCCAGCCTGGAAAAAGAGCAAGACTCCATCTAAAAATAAATAAATAAATAAATAATAATAATAATAATATGCAGCTGTTACTGTGCCCAGCATGTTTAAAAAGGTTTACTTCTCAAATCTATAAAAAATGGATTCAACTCCCCACTTTGTCTAGTATGATTTACCTCCCTGCAAAAATGTTTCCTGTAGAAATTTTTTCACCAAAAGCCTGTGCAGTCAATCAAAAAAGCTTTGGAAAAAAAGCAAAAATAGATGGAGAATTGTCTATGAATTCTAATCACTGCAGACATTTGAGAAAGAGGGACTGTGGATTCTGTGAAATTTTTTGATATACAATTATATCATGTCTCTCACAAAAGAAAAAAAAAACCAATGTATGAAATCCAAGTTGTTCTTTATGCTTCTAGCATAGTTGATGAGGTAAGACGGCTGTGTGGGCTACAGTAGTTCATCTGCTTCTGCATTCTCTGCACTGGTCTTCATGGCTGGAATGCTCATTTTCCTTCATCTTCCCCACAGCTCATGATTCCCCCAGACTTGGAATCCTGTGTCCCATTCTGAGCCAGGAAACTACACTCCAGCCTTGCGGCACCCACTTCCTACTTGCTCTCGGAACTTCTCTCTGTCATCTCCCAGCTCTGCACACCACGGGCTGTCTTCAAGTACACTGCCATTGCCATCTATCAGCCCTTCCATTATTGCACTTGGCTGCCCACAGCACTAAGCCTCTTAGGGGCTCAGAACACTACATGCCATATATTATTTCAGAGAGACTGAGAAATCAGGAAAAAGAGCACTGTGAAGCCAGAGTGTATAAAGTGGGATAAAGGATATACTCGGCAAGCATACCAAAATCAAGCAAAAAAGTCAGAGGAGGATGCACCTGTGATGGTGGCAGCTCCCTTTTGCTGAGCTTTGCTCCTGTGGAAGGCTCAGTACCTGCAGAGCCATGTCCTTCCTTTCTGCTTTCTCTCTCTTAGGTTCTCCATTACAATGGAAAGCGTTGCCATTGAAAGGAGCAGCATAGCCTGAGGAGATGGTGACAGCTCCATTTTATAGATGGAGAAACTGAGTTTGAATGGCAAATGCCCAAGTGCATAAAGCAAGGAAGTAGCATAACTGGGTTGGATCACTAAATCCTCTCCTTTTTCCCCAGGTTTAGAACCCACAGGGAGACCCACTCCCCAGGGCAAATCATGCCTTATTCCTGTGCTGTGTGACTACAGATGACTTCTTCTTTTTGCAAAAACACAATGGGAGGGCCAGCTGCTGTGGCTCATGCCTGTAATTCCAGCAATTTGGGATGCCGAGGCAGGAGGATCACATGAACTCAGGAGCTCAAGACTACCTTGGAAAATATGACAAAACATAAAAAATTAGCTGGGGATGGCGGCAGGTGCCTGTAATCCCAGCTACTTGAGGAACTGACATTTAAGGATCGTTTGCGCCTAGGAGGTTGAGACTGCAGGGAGCCAAGATCGCACCACCCCAGCCTGGGTGATAAAGTGAGTCCCTCTCTAAACACACACACACACACACACACACACACACACACACACACACAATGGGAAATTTTAGATATTTTGGAACATAATTGATTAAAGAAAACTATAATTAAATGTTTACATATTACTGTTGTATAAACAAGCAAAATGTTAGGTTTTTAAAACTTTCATTTGGTAAAGAAGTTGAACAATGAGCATCCACTTTTTCACTTTTCCAGTGTTCTAGAAATACCAGTTTGCTTTGCTGATGTTGCTCTGTGCAGACAGGAGAAGGGGCCACATATATGCAGTCATCCCTGGGTGTCTGCAGATGGGAGCTCTTCCTTTTTTGAGCATCATACGTTTCTGACATTGTTGAAGGGATGATTAAACTCAATTAATAATCTCCATTGGGTGTTTTTCTTTCCTGTTATTGCCAAAGTTCCAAAACCATATGGTAAAGCATATTTTGTAAGATAGGATTATAGATCATGAATTCTTTTTGAAAAACGGGAGAAGCAGG